GTTACTGGCGGTGTATGTTCTGCACCCGACGCTCCTCTAGAAGAGACATTTTGTGTAATACTTCCATATAGGGAAAATTTTCGACCATAACTCTGTAATGTGTGAAATGGTGGCGAAAGTGAAATATAACAGCAGCCACAGTTATCATATTTTTTAGTGGGGCACCATATTTTCTAGTAGTGAATGTATTTTTTAAGGTCCATGCAAAACTTAGGTCCTGTGCATAATTGAGGGTGAACAGATGGCGTCGCCTTACTCACTTTACAGAACAGAAATTTTAGTGCTTAACCTAGTTCTAGCTGGTCATTGAAGGCAGTAATTACGATGGTTGAACGGTGGAGCGTTGCTGGATGTCTTATTGTTAGGGGCATAAAGTTGGTAGGTAGCTCCTACCACAGCCGTCAGCGTGCTGAGAGATTTGGTCCACCAATGGAGTTCAGCTACGTGATCAAAGCCGCTCGGTTGACTAACCACTCTTCGCAGGTCTCTAGCCATTAAAAAGAGAGAGAGCGCTAGCGTTGAACCTAAAGAAGTGAACACCATTGCGAGACGCATCAATGCGGAAGTCAACGGGCAAGATGGGATCCCATTTCTCGGGTTTTTGCCGTTTCTCATGGTTTTTCTCCAGCCCGGAACCACTGATCACCTCTTCTTTAATTCTGATGGCCTGCCTTCTAGTCGAAGACTCGCCTTCAAACATTGACATAAAGGATAAAGGATAAAGCATTTGCCGTTGATCAATCCCTTTTTGGGATGCATTCTACTTCCATTTGTACATTCGTAGTGGCGTTTGAATGCGATGTGGCCTATACAATGACTTGCGGGGGCCAGCCGATGTACAAGTCAGTGTTTTTATCCTCCCAGACAAGTCTGGTACCAATTAACCGACCCCGGAGGGATGGAAGGCTTGGTTGGCCCGGGCGACTCACGACCCAGGATTTGATCCCCGGACCGTGCAGCGCCACTTGCCACTACACCACTTTCGCCCTTCACAATGGACTTTATGCCTAATATGACATAATAGAGCATAATAGGCTTGCGAAGCTCGAACGCTTCCTCTGTTTGACCAGTTTGATGCGCACATTAATTTAGCAGATTCTACTCGACTTACCAATGAGAACACGATAATGAATGCCGAGAAATTAGTCATAGCTGCCACGATTAATTCAGGATTCGTTCCAGTACGGCCCATAATTGGAATGAAAATTGATAGAACCAGCGACGATAGATAGATCGCCATTCCATAGCATGGTGTGTGCAACACAACATGAGTGAGCACCACTCCCCATTCACCTAGAACCATTGGGATAGACTACACCATCGATTACTACCAAAATTTAATCACAAACTTACTTTTGAAACGAAGGACACCACCGACCAGCGGAAGCAGCATCAAGGTGAACATGAAAGCACTGGAAACGCCCTTGATCGTCAAAATACCCAGAATTACGGCGACCATTGTTCTGTGGACGGTTTCGATCGCCTTCGCGTGATCCTACAAGATCGACGTATTTCATTCTTCTACTATTAGGGAATGGAGGGACTTGAACAAAAAATAGGATTGAATACGGAATGATTTGCATTAGAACGAGTGGAAAATATTGTCAAATTAAAAAATAATTGACGATGAGTGAACTGTGCTTTCCTAATGTAGCTATTCTACGAGCTCACTACTGGCTTTGAGGGTGGGGAGAAGACGGATCCATTATAGTGCAAAACGTTCTTGGGGATAGATTCCCACACCGAATTTTCTCCTTGTTCAAATTTATCATGCTGAAACTTCAGCTTCATTTCTACACACACCTGCGAAGGAGCCTACCACCTGCGAAGGAGC